CAGGCATTGTTTGTAATCTGACTCCAGACATTAAATAGTGAGAAAGTCTGCCTCCCAATTTTTCTGGGGAAGAAAGAGGCATTGTCGTACTCATCAGACGATGATCTGAAGCGAGACATTTCTCGATTACCTCTGCACCTCCATGGTCTGCCACGAAGTGGGAAACATTGAGATGTCTGATGTGTGTTAAATGAGGATCTGTTTGCATGGGATGAGCTTCTTGGAACTTTTCTGTTTTGAGAGAAGTGAAAGTTTGAAAACTTTAGGGCTGAAAACTCTGTTTGAGCTTTGTCTAAAGAACTTAATAGGTTTACATATTTATTAATGTCCTTAATAAATGAGTCTCCAAATAGGAGTCCTTCTGCCGCTAGTCCTGCTTCTGTAATCTATATGAGTATTGACCTTTGTCTTTCTGTGGTTAGAGCTTTATTAGCGTTTCCTAGAAAACATACAATTCATTGTGTCCATTCTCTAAGGATGTCAATATAGGGAGAACTCACTAAAACAGAAGCTCGTTCTAGGACTTCGAATATTTTTGCCATGGGACCAGAGATGTCCATTAGCTTGTCCTGACAGGATTTTGGTGACCTGTCAAGTCCTTTGCTAGTTTTCTTTCCTGATTTTGTTAGAAACTGTATTTAAGTACGATCTAAGTCAGGGGTCTCTTTTTTATCTAAAGTCGGTCTAGGACATTCAGCCCACAGCTTACTCCTAGATGCCTGGTCAAGGGCTTTCCTTAGCCAATATTAAAGTTATCTGGCTACATGAGCCATCAGAACTCATTCAGCTGAATGGGGATTGTAACGGAGCTGCAGTACCCCAACTGAGTACCTCCATTGATGGATGCTCCTAGTGCTTCCCGAGGGCTCCAAGCACTTCTCTAGACACCATAAGCACTGCAGACCGAACCTCTTTTCCTGCAGAGAGCGAAGCTGGAACAAGCTCTTAAATAAGCTTAGTGATTATAGCTAGGGGAGTGTGTAGAGTATAGCAATCCCCCAGTGTAAATGCAGCCTTTCCCCCCCAATCATGAGACGAGGCTCTATGATGAGGGTCAAAACAGGAACTCAACAGTCTGAGGGTATATTGTCTTATATGCAAGTTTTTACACACAGTTACCACCCACATGGTTTTGTGGAACAACCAATCAAACACATAATAATACAGTCAGACACTCCCAGTTAGGACACACAAATCCTCCCCTCTGCCTGTGATATAATTACTGTACACAATGGGTTTATTTATTTATTAGAGGCAGGAAAATACACAGTTTCATACAATATTTATAACTCACAAAATATCTATACAATCTCCACACATTATGAATTAGAATACTTCAAATGCAAACATACCCAAAAATCAGACAATTCCCTTCAGTGGTTATAATGTTAGGTGGAAGTCCTTTTTGACCGACCGCAAGCATGGCTTTCCTGCCCAAAAGAGTTCCATAGATTTGGGCTGTGCGGTCGGTCTATTTTACACTGAAAAATAACTAAGTCCCATTCGAATTCATGAACGGGGCACTGTTAGTATAACTGTGCATTCAAATCGCTGGGGAGGGAGGACCGACTGTCCCTACTCCCTGAAACTCATCCTGCAGCTGGGGAGGGAGGACGCTGCTCTCCACTCCTTGCAAGGTACACTGCCGCTGGGGAGGGAGGACGATGCTCTCTTCTCCCTGTAACTCACCCTGCTATTGGTGATGGAGGACACTGCTCTCCACTCCTGTAGCGGTTACCCCGTGTAGCAGAGGGGTTTCAACCGCTGGAGGGTGTCCTTTTCCCGATCAGTGAGGAGGATTCTTAGCATCCAGTCATAATCCAAGTGAAGAAGCTCTTACAAGAGCTAGTGTGAATAGCTGTATAGGGGTTACCCCCAATAAGAGACAGGACTCTAGATTGAGGGTGAAGTAGAACTAACTTTTAATGACAAGTACTCTCCTTTTATGCAGTGCTCCCATGCAAATGAGACACCCACAGACAATTATGCATTAGCCAATCAAACAATGGTTACATCCCACATATTCCCTCCCCTCTGCTTGGGAGATAATTCTTACAGTATCTACTAAATTATCTCCGAGCTGAAAAATCATACTTTTTATACATTTTTATAACTCCCTGATTTTACATCACATACAAATATATATTATATTTATGTGATCAGCATAACTTGGGGAGCAACATATGTAAAAATCACATGAATCCATCCAGGGGTTAAAAAGTTATGTTGAGGTCCCTTTATGACCAATCACAAGCACATTTTCGAAAACAGTTCCATAGATTTGGCTGCACACACCGCTGACCGCGTTCAAATGAGTTAAAATGGCCGCCACTTTGGCTGTATCTGAAGTACCAATTTAATACACTGCTTCAAAGTAGTTAAAGGGCCAGGAATAGCAATATAAAAATCCATTATGTCCAAATCAGTTCCTAGAAGGGCAATGTGGCAGTAAAACTAAAGGTAGAGGTTCACCAGGCAACCTGGTAGGAGGTTGTTGTGGTAGGAGGTTGTTACAACATATATTACAGATTAAACGAAAAACAGGGGGATCTGTTACAACTCCCTGCAAGGTACACTGCCGCTGGGGATGGAGGACGCTGCTCTCCACTCCCTCTGCCCCAGTGTAAATGCAGCCTTTTCCCCCCAATCATGAGACAAGGTTCTATGTTGAGGGTCAAAACAGGAACTCAGCAGTCTGAGGGTTTATTGTCTTATATGCAGGTTTTTACACACAATTACTAACCACATGGTTTTGTGGAACAACCAATCAAACACATAATAATACCAGGACCAACTTAAAGTGCTTTTGTAATACTGTGCAAACACATTAACTCCCAGTTAGGACACACAAATCCTTCCCTCTACCTGTGATATAATTACTGTATACAGTGGTTTAACTTAATTATCACAGGCAGGAAAATACACAGTTTCATACAATATTCAGAACTCACAAAATATCCATACAATCTCCCTAAAAGTTACATATTATGCATACTTCAAATACAAACATACCAAAAATCAGACAATTCACTCCAGTGGTTAAAAAGTTAGGTGGAAGTCCTTTTCACCGACCGCAAGTATAGCTTTCCTGTCCAAAAGAGCTCCATAGATTTGGGCTGTGCGGTCAGTCTATTGTACACTGAAAAATAACTTTGAATGTATGAACAGGGCACCGTTTGTGCAAATAGCTTAGTATAACTGTGCGTTCAAATCGTTGAACGCACTTTGGTTTTAGCCGAAGTGGAGGAGAAGGTAAGAGTCAGCGTTGCTCGTGCAAATGTGCAGCCGATTTTGGTTCCATGGATTTGACGGCACACACCGCTGACCGCGTTCGACTAAATAAAGATGGCCGCCGCCACGTGTTCACTGTACACCCAGTGGTCAGCAATTAACCTGCTGTTAACCTCCAGTTTGGGAGGTAAATTGCCTGCACTCTTCCACTTGCGTGTGGTCCCCCTGTTCAGTAATTGGTTCGGTAAGTCCCATTTACCGAACCAAGTGGGAAAAAGCCACAACAAAGTATTTTAACAGTTTGGGGACTCTGGGGACACAGTTGTAAAGGGGCATTGTTCCAATAATGTGCTTAAAGGCCAGCACCAGTCTCATAAAAGCCCAAATAATGTTTTTAAAGGGCCATACACCCCAGGGCCATGGTCACAGGGCAAGAGGCTGGCAAGCAGGCCTCTCCAGGACCAAGTGGCGAAGGGCACTTCGTCACAGGGATGTTTTATATTATCTGGATTAAATAAAGGTTTTCATGCAGTATCCGTAATGACGTTTTCATCATCAGATTTTGATACATGCTCAAGTACCTCAGAGTATGCAGAATAATCAGAATCTGCACCAGATTCTTCATCTTCAGATGATGGGGATTAATTATCAGAGAAGGTTTTTTAAGAGGCCTGAATGGCCTTCCAAGCTCGTTTGTCTTTCTCACGAGCAGAAGGTCTTTTGAGTTACTCTCATCAAATTTGCTAGATATACGCATTTTATTATGGTCTTGGTCCTTCCTATTTTAGATGCTTTTGAGCCATAACAATGTTTACACTTCTGAGTGGCTTTCCCAGACCTCCTAAAACCTTGCACCAAATTCCTCTCAGACTCTACAGATTACATAAATTGGTCAGAGGGAGTATTAATTACCTCAGTGAGTTGCACAGGTTTGGTAGATTGGCTGATAGCATGAACCACAGATTTTGCTATTGCCTCTTGCATAGAGGACATAGCAGAAAATATTGCAGATGATACTGATTTGTTGACAGATAAATCAACAATATTCTGTAGCAAGTCCTCAGTGAGGATTTCACCTTCAGCGTTAGCACCAGTAATTGGTGACTGTGGAAGAGTTTTCTTAGACTCTTTGGAATTCATAATAATCATCAAATTCTAGTAGACTGCAGTAAAATAATTTTAATAGTCTGCAATAAAGTAAATATTGCTTGATATATTGCAATAAAATTACAATAGTATAAGTATTAATTAGTAAAGTTGGCAGTAATGGGTGAGTAAAAAGTGGCGGGAAAGGGATAGCTGACAACCAACTAGCTGTGAAAAAAAAGCACAAAATATTATGTCAGATTAAATCTGAGGTAAATTGAATGTATGAAACAACCCAACGGTTAAATCGGTTCGCTCCGCGAATGAGAGGAAAAAAAACACTGAATTGAAACAAACTAAATAGCTTTGAATCGCGAGAGGGTTGTTCTTGAAAAGTAATAGAAGCATGAATAGGATTTCGTTAGAAACGCACGAAAGATACACAAAATTGTAGATTATGCTAACGTAGTGTACCTATAATCTTAATTTTAATAATGACAGGAGGCGAGTATTTTGCATAACTTTCTTTACTTTATGCCTCCAGCAGCACAAGTCAATCAATAAACTTTAAACCAATCAGTAACAGGCATCACATTCATATATAAAGCCCTGACAGTCACATGACTTCCTCTTTCTTTGATGCGAAAAACAGTCTATTATAACGTCAGGGAATTCAAATAACAGTCCTGAGTAACGTGTAGAACATAACTTGAAACCTTCCAGCTTTATCTTGTCGAATCCATCTATGATGATTACGCTGAAAAGAACAGAAATACGTGAAAGGTGATGGAAACCAACTGTTGTCCACATTAAATCCAGTACTATATGTGTCTATATTTATATTAAGTTAATATACTGAAACATTAAACAAACCATAGTATACTTAATAATCAACACGGCTCTAACACATATCAACCAAATAGGCATCCCATAAATATACTGAATTACCAAACCTTATAATTTACACTGAGAAAATGACAAACCAAAATATAAAAAAATTCCAGAGTATAGGGAGGGAAACAGGGAGGGAAAATACTCGCCTCCTGTCATTATTAAAATTAAGATTATAGGTACACTACGTTAGCATAATCTACAATTTTATCACATGACAGGAGGCTTCATATTTTGCATTTTTAAAGCTGTGGTATGAGCGTGAAGGATGCGTGTGTGGTTGACGAAAATAAATATACGGAAGTAGTCTATCCGTGTCCAATTCGTCGCTGAAAATATAGAGGCCCCCTCGTGAAGGCCTGAGAAGCAGCTGCGCCTCTTACCGAATGAGTACCCAAACACGTCTCCACCCTCGCTAGCGATAACAACCAATGAACCCATCTAGACAGAGTGTTCATGGTAACTGGCTTGTACGGTTGGTATAAGACCAGCAGATGTCCTGAATGTGACATTCTAAGTGTTGTCGTGATCTCCATGTAACAAAGTACCCCTTTAACTGCACAAAGGCTGGGAAACCGTCGGTAACAGGGAACGATACGGACACGGATAAGATATAGTTCTACGAGACACTGTAGAAATTATTCTTTCCGGTGATACCGAAAAGACCGTCTACGTCGAACTCCAGTACATCTAAAACCCGACGAAAAGACCTAAAAGTAACGTGACTCTGGCTAATGGCTGACTGAGGGATAGGACCGTGATATCTGACTATCTCCAAAAGAACCAAATCAAAGTCCCACACCAGTGATACTTTGACGCATGGTTCTGGACGGTTTGATACCCCACAGAAAATGGCATATCAAAGGCTCTTGATTGACCGGAGTGTCGTGAATCGTGCTATGCATCGTCGAAATTGCGGAACGTAGCCCGTTAATGGAACGTTCCGATCGGCCTGTAGTGAAAAGGTATGATAAAGATCCAGCATCGTGGAGATAGGGGTAATAAAGGGATCGCAGTCCCTTCCCATACACCAGCGAACTCAAGGTGTTCCATGCGGATAAGTTATTTCGGGGGAATACCTGGCGTCCATGAGTCCCATAGTAGGTCTCTAGTTGGTTGCGATAGTCCCTTGACATACCAGTCTCCCCTGGAAGACACCAATCTACCAACTCCAGATGCTCCTGCATTCTCAATGGATGATGTTCTCCTTTTGGATCCGCCCGAAGGCAAGTTAAAACGGAAGGAGCAGAGGATGATCCTGATTAAGGACAACCCTTCTGGGTGTCACGCTTGCCTCCTTTACCGCAGTAATGAGTACTATCGAAGTCTTCGCTATTCTGATCCCAATTTCATAGGTGTGTCCGTATCTCAGGCAGTGAGCTTTCAGCCACTGTCTGGCCTGGTAGTGAAGCAGTCCTGGGAAATAGTCAAAGGGTTATGGTGCCTTTCCGCCGTACCCGTCGAATTTCCTTACGAATCGTCGCTATCAATGATGTGGGAAGGTGTAATCCGCCCAAGGTGGAATCTATTCTGAAATAGAGGAACTGAATCACTCGGAACTGGGATCGAACCAACTCCTCTCTGTTCACTATGAATCCCAACAATTCCCGAAACTGTAAACATAAATCTCGTTTGTAAACGTAGTCATGAATTGGATTTGCAAAAGGTAAGTCGTCTAGGTATGTGACAGCAGATACCCTTTGCTTTTCAGTGCGCAGTGACCGACTTCAGAAACTTCATGAGGCACCATGTGAACCTATAGGTAAGTGCCCTTCAAGTCCAACCTTGTAGATCCCCTAAGAGATGGATACCTTCCTTCTTGAGTTGTCGGTACGCCCCAAAACCATTGGGTTGGCATAGGTTGATGACTGGGTGATAGTCTCCTATCTTCTTCCTTACTACCAAACCGTTGCTGAGATAAATGGTTCTCCAAACGATAGTCCGTCTGCCTGAGGTCCTCGCTCTTTCGTCCCTAACTTCAATAGTTTGAAATCCATCTTTAATCGGGCTGCTTTGCGGCGTTCTGTGCACCTGTCTGCCTTGCGTTCCCCAACTTACATATTGCCCTTTGCACCCATTCCCTCACATCGTGAGCTTCTAGAGGTGAGTCTTGTGTGGGGTCAGGTCCGCAAAGTATAGAATTTTTTCCCGGGCTGATCATATCCAGTATTTAACTCATTTTGAGTCCTCCTCCTACACACTGATCGGGACATACATATCACCACGAGCTCCATAGTGAGGACTATCTTGTTCGGACATAGAGGGCGTGGGCATTCCATCCTGAGCCGGTCTCGGATTTCTTTTCCCATAGGCCTCCTAAGCCAGAAGTGGGCCCGGTGCTCCAGTTAACCCCATTTGGATGACCCTGGTTGTCGGATGGTGCGTGAGTCAAAACAGGAGTGTCCAGTGTGCCAAAGAAAAAACCTTTCTTGCTAGGAGTGTCTTGTCACTTTTACCTCTTCTGCCCTCCATTCTTTCATGATCTCCAGAGAAGGGGGGGGGAGGATGAAGTCCTCGTCCCCTGATGATGGGTGTCCGACCTAACGTCGGTATCTCAATCTTCCATTGGTGTTGCTGCCGTTGCACCCGCTCTGTCGGATGGGTTGTTAGCCAGCATACTGGAGAGGACTTCTTCCCCCGGAGCTGTCATGGCAGCCTTAATCCTCGCCTGAAAATCGGTCGGGGATATTGAGGTAAGTCCGACATGTTGGTTCACACCCTTTCGGTCCGTGGGAGACAGGATCGTACAACAGTACACTTATTGCCACTCAGTAGGCCTCCGCGTATAACTGGGGGTCACCCAGAATTTTGATCAATCAGTATCATTTTCGCAGGATCCGGGGAGTGGTCTGAGAATGAGGACACCCTCAGTAAGACCGGGATGAGCGGTCTGCAATGTCGGGACGTAGCCCGAGTCTGGGAGACGTGAAAGCCTCAATATATATAGTCCACGGGGTTCATCCTTATATGGTCTAGAATTGTGGAGTTTTGGCAGCACTGTGAGTTCTCCTTCTCGGTTAAGGGAAGGGCGTACGGAACCCCAGTTGAAGCATAGAGGTGCCAGAATACATGCATCTAGTGCGCCCTGGTCTGTGCATACAATGACAGAGCGTACTCTGAAGGTAGAAGCCCTAGAAAGGGTGCGGGGGGTCACCCCTTTGTACCTATGCCACTAGCACCGGAGTAAGACTCGCTTGGGGTTCACCCAGCATAGGGGGGTCACCCCTGTATGAATGTCTCTTATGGCATGTTGGGACACTCTTTCGGTCTATGGGGTACCGAACAGGTGTCAGGTACGGTAGTACACTTATTGCCACTTAGTGGGCCTCCACGTACAACTGGGGGTCACCCAGAATTGTTTCAATCAGTACCACTTAGAGATTTCCTGGGAGTGGTCTGAGGAGGGGGTCACCCTCAATAAGACCGGGATGAGCGGTCAGTAATGTCGGGACGTAGCCCGTGTATGGGGAGGTATGGTAGCCTCCAAATTATCCAAGGGGTCACCCTTATAGGATATAGTACTGTGGAGAATTGGCAGCACCATGAGCTCTCCTTCCTGGCTCTGTCGATATACATGTATTCAGTGTGACCCGGTCTGTGCATACAGTAACAGATCGTACTCCGTGGAAATGAGCCCGCCCTAGGGCGTGGGGGTTCCCCCCAGTATATGTATGTCACTAGTACCGGAATAATATTCGCTTGGGGTTCACCCAGAGTAGGGGGATCACCCCAGTATATGTATGTCACTAGGACAGGAACCAGATTCGCTTGGGGGTCACCCAGCGTAAGGGGGGTCACCCCTGTACCACAATGTCACTTTGGAGAGGTGTCTGCCACGCTTGGGGGTCACCCAGCGTAAGGGGGATCACCCCTGTTAATCACTCCGTTATGTGCCTCCACTACTGTGTCCTGGGAGGTGTATCCCTGTGGGGAAGGAGTGTATCCAATGGTTGTGAGGTCCAGTGGGAGTAGGGAGCGGAGTAAGATATCAGCTCTATTTAATTTCCCTGCCAGTAGATAGAGTAATGCATCCACTATATACCCACAGCAGGGGACAGTCCATTCATAATCCTCCAGATGTACAATAAAACTGTTATTCAACATGTCAATTGTATAGAACAGAATAGAGCAAACTGTCAGCAGATGCACACAGCAGGGATCAGTCCTACATATTCATGCAGAGTTACATATAAAACTTTTATTTCACATGCCAATGAAATATGCCTGTATAGAGCTCAGCAGTGAACAGTCCATTCATAATCTTCCAGGAAAGGTACATATAAAACCTTTATTCCACATGCCCATGAACAGTATTGAGCTCAAAAGCACTTGTAAAACTTTTATTTCACAGGAAAAATATATGAAACAGTACAGAACTAGCCGCCAGTTCGTGGGAATCACGAACTGGCCAAACGACATGGCCGACGTGAATCTCGCGAGTGCCGCGAGATTCAAGATGGCCGCCGTTCGCGCGCAAAAGTGCCGTGCGGCCCACGATCGAGGATACGATCGCGGTCTGCCGGCATGGAAAAGAGTCCCCCCGACATCCCCAACCCCCAGAGACCTGCCCTGAAGTCCCAGCACCAATGAATAAAAAGCGTGCTCGCGGTAAAACGCCGCGATCCATGCGAGACCAGAGTAAAGCATAGGAAAGAAAAGGTGCCAGCAACAGAAAACAGGCTAATAAAGCAGAAAATACAGGGTTAATTCAGGGGAAGGGTAACAGGGGGAGAATATCACACTATACAAATCCAAATGGAAGGCAAGTGCAAAATAATGAAAAACGTTTAGGCCAAAATTGCAGGACAAGCTAATAAAGTTTAACAAAAGTGCCCATGCATATCCAGAAACAGTTTGGAGCAAAAACTGAATGTCTAGCATTAAAAATCTAACTAAAGTGACCATAGCAATATTAATAAAAACAGTTGGAGCAAACTGAAAGTCAATTAATAAAGTTTAATTAAAGTGGTATCCAGAAAAAACAGTTAGGATTAAAACTGAATGTCTAGCATAAGGTGTCTAACTACAGTGACCATAGCAATATTAATAAAAACAGTTTGGAGCAAACTGAAAGTTAAGCAATAAATGATTAACTAATGACAATTGCAATATTCAGTAAAACAGTTTGGAGCAAAATACTCTGACCTGTGCCTTGGCTGGTAAGCAGCAAAGAAAGAAGAAGTCATGTGACTGTCAGGGCTTTATATATGAATGTGATGCCTGTTACTGATTGGTTTAAAGTTTATTGATTGACTTGTGCTGCTGGAGGCATAAAGTAAAGAAAGTTATGCAAAATATGAAGCCTCCTGTCATGTGATAAAATTACCAAACTGCAAACGTAAATAATTAGAGTATAATAGTAATATCGTTCACGATTTTTTCCGCGAACGGCCTCACAAATTAACTTTGGCCAGTAGCAATAACTGAAAAATATATATACCTCAGAAAATTAAAAATACAATTAGAAAAATATCCCAAAATAACTATTTGTGTTTACAATAATGGTTTAAATAAAACAATACAAATTATAATCTAAATATGCCAAAATTAAAGATTAAATAGAATATAGAATAACTGTATTGTATGTATATATGTTACTTATCTCCACTGGAGAATCTCAAAAGAGGAAGATGATTGGGGGTCATTGCGTATATATAGACTACGCCGGATGCGGATTGGCTATTGGATATTCCATTGCAGTTACTGGAATGTTTTATTTTATAGTGTTTCACTAAATTTTATTGAAATATTATTTGCTGCTGGAGTGTAGTAAAGAAAGTAAATGCATAATATGAGCCTCCTGTCTTGTTATAAAATGTGTTTCTGTCCCTTATAATTTCAAAGTGGTGGCAACACCACTTGGGGATGTAGGGTAATTATTTTAGATTATATTTTTTTAAAGGGACTGTATCAACCTAAACATTGCTTATACTGTGAATGTAGAGAATAAATAATTATGAAAAATCATGTATGTAATTGTGACAGAGCTCCAGTATTTTGACCAAGTACCTCCGCCAAGTCTGCTTCCTCGTAGCTATCAGGGACCCTGGAGCACTTCAGACCTAGTCACCGTGGCTTGACTGGGATCTCTGAGGGCCTTTTCCAAGCTAGACCAGGCTACTGTGTTTATAGAAATCAGAAAAAAATAAGTGTGCTGTGCCTTTAAATCATGGCTTCAATTTTTGTACAATCAATGTACAAATAAAGTGCTTAAAGTGCTTTTGTAATACTGTGCAAACACATTAACTAGTGTTTAAATTAAGTACAAAAACAAATATGTGCAAACAAGCAAAATAAATTAAAATGTGCTTTTGGTGTCAGTGCACTCCAAATATAAAAAAAGAGGGCAAATATTACACTTGCAATATGCAGAGTTTAACATGAAAGAGAGAAAAACATTAAAAAAAATACATGTCATAATATTGTCTGGATAATAGATAGTAATTTAGAACCAGATATGTTTTAAACACTCACAAAGATGGAGCATGTACAAGACTGCTCATGCTATATGTGCTCTCAATATATCTCCTCCCTTATTTGTAGGGAAACTATGGATAGCCGAGATTAAAATGTACATAAACTTTATTTTCATAAAAGTAGAGACACACGTCTTAATGATCTCCATCTCACCAGTCCCTTAAGGAGCTTTAAACAGTCTACAGTCGGAACACAATAACATTACACTTAGGACTTAGTCAGACTCCGCACACCGATACAAACATTGTAACCGGGAATCCAGCACTTTTTAAAAATGTTTTGTTTGTTTACACATATTGGTTTTTGCACTTCATTTAAACACTAGTTAATGTGTTTGCACAGTTTTGCAAAAGCACTTTTTGCTGGTGTTTAAGCACTTTAATTGTACATTGATTGCACAAATATTGAAGCCACAATTTAAAAGCAAAGCACACTTTATTTTTTTCTGCTTTTAGATTTTCTGGTAGTGTGAAAAAGAGATAAATACACTGATAAAGTGCTGCTATTCTATTTAGAAAGTTAAAGTTTTAGTGTTGCGCCATATTTGCTTGTAATTAACTGTTGTTTAATGTGTTTATAGCACTGGACATGCTTTCCATTAGCAGATTATATACTTTACCCCAAACACCAGATGACACTTGGTGAATGTTAAAACAACAATTAACTTATATATAATATATAATAGACATAGCACACATTTTTTTATTTTTTATTTATTCAAGAAAGGCTTTTATTCACATCATTTTGCATACATAAACAATGGGCTTGTTTCAATATAAACTGTTGTACAATAATATTTTGGTATTACAGTGCAGTAAAGTCAGTCTTGATAGCAATAATATAATTACAAGTTTGGAAACCAACGTATCCATGAAGTGTACTACAGGTGTCATATCTGTATACAGGCGTTTATAAGAAAGGGTGCGAATGTAATGCAGTTAAATATGACATTGCCAACAGATATTACAAAATAAGTGGGCATTTTTATGAAGATGTGCTTAATGAGCTCAAGAGTAACGAGTATATTATATATGTAATTCTATCAGTGCTAACTTTAAGTAGTTAAATTAATACTAATATAAGTACAGCAGGCTTAGTAGCGCATGTCTTATAAAGATAACTAATCGTCGGTATGGGGAAGTAATTAGAAAAATCGCATGGTTGCAACTGTGCATCAGGCCCACCTGCTATCCGAGTTGTATGAGCTATGTGAGTTTTCAGGTTAACCTTTAAAGGCGAGTATCAGCCCACAGTGTTTCGCTTATGTATGTCTGATTGTTCATTTTCCTTTGCTCTATCCTATTTCCTGTGTTTTTCCAGCAATTATAAAGGGTATATTCCAAAAAACTAAATCAATCTACAGGGTTACAATTGTGAACGTTGTGCCTTAACGTGCGGGAAGAAGAATGCAGCGAAGAAGAAGCAGCACTTCTGTTTATTGCCACCTGGGAGCCCTGGGTTCTTATGATTTATCTTTTGGCAAAACCTGTGTCATTAACTATGGCATATGGCCTACTCCATGCTACTGTTAGGCTTATGTAGCCATAGCCCAGACTCCATATTAAGTTTGTACCAAGTATAACTCCCTCTAGCGCTCCAGGTAATCATGATGTGATAATATAAGAGAAGGGGAAATAAAAAAATTAAAAAAAAAGATGGGAAGGGTGCCCTCGGGGTTGTGGAGGGGCCTGTGGGATAGGGCCCTACGTGAAGATCCCCGGTTAGGTCCTCTTGTGAACCCCAGGGATCTTGGTCCGAGCACGTGCGGCCAGGTTATATATATATAAAAAAAAAACCACTCAAGTAAGTAATTAAGGAAATAAAATTAAGTAAGTCAAAATAACTTAAATCAAGCCTCCATGGGTGCCAACATATACAGTAACACCCGGCTCCGGGTAAAGCCCTCCCCATGAGCTTCTCGGTATAGCGGGCACTCGAGGAACCCCCAGTCCATGATACCCCCCTCTCCTAGAGTCCACTAACTGGGCAGGCCTCTGCACCTCCACTGTCCCGGTGGAGTCTCAATAAGTAAGACAGGGTGCCTCCGTGGGCCCCCTCCATTGCTGGCCACTGCTCCTAAGCTTAGTCCATGCGGCCCCGCGGCCACCGGTCCATAGCAGCCCCCAACAGACCAGCCCGACCGGGCTCGCAGCAACCTTCTCCAGGTCTCCGGATCTCCTAGATATGAAGGTCACTCCTGTCCGACCCGAGACAGCCCGGTAATCATGATGCCACTGCATGTCGGCAGTCCTCTCGGCACTCCTGAGTGATTTCTGGGCCGACTCCTGGGTGAGTGTGTAAGGAGCTGTTTAATCCGTTCTGTGACAAGGCAAGTAGGGGGCTCCACAATGTATGTCTTGTCTCCCCTGTAGTGGCTGAGTACATGCTGACAGAACCCCATCCAACATCCCGCAATTGCAGGCTGGTAACCACAAGCCTGTATATGGAAACTTGCATCTTCAAAACAGGAAACAATTTAAACAATTTAACAGGTGACCAGGATGACCCCCCGGTCCTTTGGGGTGCGGGGCCACAACGTGTTCTCTCCGGTCGCCTCTTGCACGTTAGGAGAGACAGGCGCTTTCATATCATGCTCATTCACTGAGCATGTGCAGAGTGCTTCCAGGCACAGCACTAGGCCGCAGGTTCATGCCATCATGTAGGCCCGTTTCTTTTCAGCTTCCTCACGTTTGTAAGATTTGCAGCCGCCCGTAGGTCTCTTTATGATGCTGGCAGGTTACTCTATTCAGATATCTTATTTTGAAGGGTTAATAGTCAGTTTGTGGGCAGAAAATCAGTAATGGCTTCCTTTCAGCTCCACGGTCCAGCCCCGCCCTCCGATTGCTGAGCACGCATATTTTAAGCCCCCAACAGCCACATTTACATACAATGTAACTATGGTACAGGGAAGGGTGGGGGTCAGACAATAGCAAGTGCTGATGGGAGCTTGAGGAGAGACAAAACAGCTACTTTAAACTGGTCTGGCAGTGTATCAGGACAACACCCTGCTGGGGAAACAATAGGATAGGAAAAAGAGGGAGAGGGAGGGGGGAGGGGAGATGGAGAGGCCCATACAAGCAATACATTCAACTTACCATGCACCAATAATGGGCACTGGGTGACCAAAACACAAAAGTAATCTGGAGACCCACACATATGTCTGTCTTCCATCCCCAGTGACTACCATCACATTTCTTCCCTCTCAAAGGTAGACTAATCAGGTACCAGACCTCCAATCGGTCTGTGCCTGAGTTAGTCAGGTAACAAGTCCCAAAAAGTAAATCCATCCTTGCAGCCTCCTTGACAAAGTTCCACATAGTTTGTAAGTTTGTCCAGGTTGGAGGCATGGAGCCCTCATAGCCAATCAGTCCAAGGAAGTCTGGTTTGGGCAGGCCAGACTGGGCTTCCTGGTCACCCTTTCCCCCTAATAAGCACAGGGTAACTTACACATAAGAAGGGACTTGGAAGTGGAGAAAGGAAGTTCCCAGTAAATCTGCCATGGCCCCCTACCAAACTCAACCTATCCCTATATGATTCCACTCTCAGTTGGCCACCATGACACCCACACACCCCAAAAGCAAATCTGTAATCATGTGTCTCCAGCCCAGGATAGTTTCCAGCACATTTTTCCCCCTTTGAAAGGAAAACAATACAGGGGAATGCAGACAATTTGAT